TATTTTTTGAATTAAACTTTTTGTAACAATATTTATATAAACAAATTCAAGATTACTACATATACTTTTTGTCAGATTAAACAACGCATATATACAAACAACGTATATATACAAATTAATAAAATGTTTTGGTATTCGTATTCAAAATATGATTATTTATCAGATGAAAACTCAGAATATAATAGCGATTCTGAGGACGATTTGCCAAATCTAACAAGAGATAAGCAACGAGTCTTGCAAAAATATAAATATCTTAACCGCTCTGATTGCCCTAGAAAAGAATACTTTTATGTCTCAGAAAATATTCAATCTGAAGGATGGGTTATCTGGCAAGAGTTTTCTCATAGCTATAGATATTTTGATAACTTATCCGAGTTTAAAATATGGCATGAATTGATACCTGAAAACCAGCGTACATTTCATGAGGTTATTCGAATAGAACAGCCACAAAAAATTAAGATTGATATAGATGGTGAATTAGAAAAATTTGCATTATATCCTGATCCTTTAGATAGAATAGAAAAGGCTTTAGGACAAAAATCATTTGATGGTTATATTGCTAATACACATCTTCATATATGGCAAAAATCTACAGATATAATGTGTAAAAAAGATGAAATTAGTTTGTATATCAAGAATGCTTTCCGAATTGCTATAAAAGAGATAAGTGGATTGAATCTCTCAAAGAATGATATTATTATAGCTGATTTCTTAAATGAAATGAAATGGAATAAACACTTGATATTACCTAGGTATTTCGTTCGTGGTGCATCCAAAGCTCGAAAATTTATATTGTGAATCTTAGAACTTCTTCCAAAAAGAATGTATCTTTTCATTGATGAAAAAGTAAACAAGGATCTCCATTGCTTTCGACTAGCAGGAAATTATAAAGCCAAAGACTCTTCATGCATTAAACGCATATGTTCAAATCATACTTGGAGAGAATCACTTATCACTCATATTAAGAAAGATTCTATAGAACTCTGGCCATATGAATGAGAAGAAGATAAAAAGCTAAAAAATGAGTCTGTTTCACATGAGGAGAGTGATATTGCAATAAAAATAGTAGAAAAACAATTTCCTTTTCTGTCTTATCAAAATTCTAATAATGGCTTCGATATTTTTGATAGAATTCGGCCTACAACATGTTCAATCTGTGAAAAAGAGCATATGAGAGAAGGTATATATAGTAAATGATGTGGATCGTATTATTTTCTTTATTGTTTTAGGCAAAAAAAGGGAATCTGGTATTGAGGTTAATAGAGCAGATCATAATAAGAAAAAAGTTATTCTTCGTTTAGATAGATTAAGAGCTTGGCTTCAGCATAGATCACAGTCTCATTCACAAAATAACTTTACTGCTATTGGAAAGAATATCGAAATATATAATGCTAAAACAATGTATAGCTATAATTTACAAGCTAAACTTACGAGTGGTAACCGGTACTTGATGCTTATTAAAGGACATTGTGGTGTTGGCAAATCAAATAAGACAGCAAAAGAAATAAGAACACTTTGTTATTCTGATAGATCTTCTGTTTCAACTCTCGTCATATCTGGTTGGCATTCTCTTGCTCATGGGCAAAAAGTTCTTTTCGAAGGATTTAAGTCTTACCTTGAGCTAGATGCAAAAAAACTTAATTCTAAAGATACTCCTAAACTTATTATCAGTCCAGAAAGCATTCACAAACTTGGAGCAACTGGCTATGATATGATTATACTGGATGAGTTTGAAACAATCACTCAAAATTTTAGTGGACTTACTATAAAAAAACCAAAACTAAGTCATGATGTATATAAATTCTTGCTTCAATCTGCATTATTAATATTGGCTTTAGATGCTACATTAGATTCAGACTCGCTTGTATATTTACAAAACATTTCGAAAATAGATGCCAAAAATTCAACTGTGATATGGAACTAGCATATATGAAATAAACATCATGCTCTTATATATATTAATATCAAAAAATGAAATGTTGAATTAATTGGAGCTCTGAGACAAGGATTAAAAGTCTATATTCCAATATTTGCTAGTATGGAAATGGCAGAGGCTCTTTATAAGGAATTAGAATCTCAAGGATATCAAGACAAGTGTTTTTCCAAACGACTATCAGAAACTGAGAAAAAAGAAATATTTGCCAATATCAATAATGTAGTGGCAAATCTTGACTATTTGATAGCAACTCCTGTGATGACTTGTAGAGTAAGTATAATAGTCGAAAACTTCGATATGATGGTTGCACACTTTCGCACATTAGCTGGTCTGACGAGCAATAAAGCATATCAGATGTTGCACTGTGTTCGAAAGCTAAATCAAAATGTAGTACGCATTCTAACAAATTTATGTAGCGATAATTTGCCAATAGACCGTGAGGATTTATTTCGTTTTATCAGCTATCAATATAATATCCTAATCTAGAAGAGACTCATTGTGATAAGATACTTACTCCAGATGGCAAATAGATTTTTAAGCCAAATGCTTCTTTGGAAACTTATCTTTATAACACATCTCGTCACAATGTATCTAGAAATGATTTTGTTAGTTTACTGACTGATCATCTTAGCGAATGTGGTTATAATATTAATATTGCCGAAGACTGCCCTTCTATCGACTCAAAACTTACAGAAAATAATGAAAGCAAAGAATTACTTTTACAGGTACATTCAATCAAAAAAAACTCTGAATACAGAAAAATATTCAATGATCGCTAATGCTCAGGTTTTGAGTGATATAAAAGCTTTGGATAT